CAATATTACTGTTATATATATATAGGAATGTGCATTTAATTACATTAAAATCTCATTCAAATAATTTTTTTTGTAACTTTAATTTGAGCATTTATATTAATATATTAAAATAGTTTGTAATACAAGTTAAAGAAATAAAATAAGAATGGGCAAAAACGATAGGAAATTGAAAATGAGAAAAGGGATAAGAAAAATAATCATAAAACAAAATTTTATAAGTTAAGTAATTATAAAAAAAAAAGTTGGTAAAGACTAAAGTAAAACAAAAAAAAAAAAAGGGTAATTGTTAAAGTATGATTTTTTATTAAAATAATAATTCATATTGTTTAACTTCAATTTTAAAGAATTATGAATTTGATTAAATAAAAGTTAAAAATAATTAAGGAAGATGAAAACAAAAAGTATAAGATAAAAATTATTTAATTATTAGACTAACAACTGATAAAACTTATATATTAAAAAAATCAAAAGGTAAAATTTTTTTAGATTAACAGTTTACATTTATATCTACTATTTATATTTATATATTATATAAAATGTTATACTCAAATATTAATTAGACACAAAAATTTGTCATTTTTATTTTAATTATAAAAAACATATTTTGTTAAAAGTTAAAAAGAAAATATAGTATTTTTACATTTAAAATAAAATAAATATATGTACTAATAATATTTGTTTTACCTTCTTATCTTCTAATCTCTTCTTCTCTTCTACTTCCACTTTTCTCTTCTTATTATTCTCAATTATCGTACTATTATTAGCTTTTATTACATATATAATGAATGAATTAAATTGAAGGAAGATAAATAGATGTTTGATTTTTATGGAGAATAAAAACATATGATTACAATTTTATTTATTATCATTTATAACACTATTATACCACTTTTATTTATTATTTATTTTTATTATTTTTAATTTTTTTCACCTCATGCACTTGTTTTTTGGGGAAAAAAATGTGAACAAGGAAGTCGGATCTAAAAAAGCTAGACAAAAAAGAAGATTTTTATATAAATTGTTTGATTTTATTTCATGTAAAATTTTTTTATCAAAAATATTTTTTTTAAAAATAATAGAATATGCAAATATATATATTTATTTTGAATGTAAACGTACAAAAAAATGTTACAATGATGATGTAAAATAAGCATTTTCATAAATAAATTAGAAATATGAATAATTTAAAAAAATATCTATATTATTTCATTAATATTTATAAATGTCAAAATCAATAAATAATTTTGATTCTTTTTTTTATTTATTTTAGCTTACATATATATGCTTTATTTTTATTTTTCTTAAGACATTATTTTGAAATTGCTATTTAATAATAATAATAATAATAACAACAATAATAATAAAAATAATAACAACAACAATAATAAAAGAGACAATGC